CTGGCCATGATCAACCACTCATGTGTGCCAAATGCGCTGGTTCAATTTGGTGGAAGGACGGCTACCCTCCGTGCCGCATCGTTCATACAGCCTGGCAGTGAGATTGAAATCTCATACATTGGTAGGGACTACACTCGGTCATATCGCAATGGTGATGATCTAGTTTCTGGCTAACACGCTTCAGACCAAACACAGCCCAAGAGCAGAAGACAACGCGAACTCAATCTTTACCACTTCGAGTGTCATTGCAGCAAATGCCAGCGCGATCTAGATGAATACCAGGTCGCTATGGCAGATCCTGCTGTTGAGCTTAACACGCTCAGTGTCATGCCCGAAATTGAAAGACTCAAGAATCCTCCCGGAGGTGGAAACTCTGACCCCCTACAAAGAGAAGAGGTTATGAAGCTCCAAAATGTCTTCCCTGTGCTTCCTCGTAGTATGATGTCGGAAGAGAAGCACAAGTGGCTGAGGAAAGCTTACAAGACGGCACTATGGTTTCCCAAAGTTGGCAAATACGCCATCGAGCCATTCGCCCAGCTTGTGGATGAGGCTGCCTTCTATTTCGGCAAGGATCGTAATAACCACGAGTGCGCCTTGGCAATCGCATGCTTGTCAGCTTACGAGATCGAGCCGTTTAAGCATGTTATCCCGTTTCACCCCCAAAGACTGAAGGGCTTGTCCTCCATTGCAATCGCGCTGTCCAATACTGCGCCAAACCCCACCAAGCTCACGGAGCTCGCCCGAGACATGGCCGAGACGAAGAGGCTTTCGAAAGCGGGCGTTAAGGTTCTGGAAAACCTGGACCAAGTCTCCTTGTGTCAGATGGTTCTTGCGATAATCGATATGTATAGCCCTCAAGCGCCGTCGGCCGACTGGGAAGTCGTCGTCTTGGCCAAGGAGATGCTCAGCGATATTGAAAGTCTTCCAGGTAGAGAAAAGGAGAACGCCTTAATCAATGCGTGGAGAAAGGACCCCAAGGGGATGGAGGATTTCTTCAAATACGGTTTGACGGAGCCGATCAAGACGCTGTCTGAGCTCGGGAAAGCTGTGTTAGATGCAGCCCTGGGCCAGGACCGCGATTTATCCTCCTAATGATACCCCTTATCCAGGAGAACGGGCCAGCGTTGTGTGAATTGAGATTTTCGGTGTCTTCGTTGCTGCTATTGTCAACCATCATCGTTGACAGACTGGAAGGGTTTTGGTATCTTAACACTTATGCCGTTGAGGGTATTTGTGCCCTCTGTGGGCTCCTCTTGCTCACGCTTAGAGACGGTAGAAGAGGTGCCGAAGGTCCAGTGGCCTTCCTTCCTGATGGTGTGAGCCTGTTCTCCATGATCCTAGCCGCCATTCATCTTCTCAATGCTAGGCTTTCGGAAAGCAGTTCCCGGAGTACGACCGGTTGAAGAGGTCAATTCCATAGGCAGTGACTCGACCTGGTTCGACCGAGCTCCGATCTTGGTGATATTACTTGCCAAGATGTCCAGTCCTTTGAAGTCGTGATGTGAATTTACCAACCAACCTCTTTGAACGGTCTTTTTCAATAACCTATCTCAATCGTGCCATTCCCGCCTGAACGCTGATCATATCCAAATTCCGACATGTTGAGACTGTCCTGAGAGACTTTCTTTGCGCGAGAAAGCGCCTGCTGTGATTCTGATAACATTTATTCTGCTTGCAACAGGTCGTTTCGAGTCGTGTGTCGCAACGGACTCGAGATAGATGGATTACTTGCCTAATTAGATGGTTTACCGAGGCTTTGGTTGAGGTTTGGTGGAAAGGGACCGCATAGTCAAGAGCTACCTAAGTTCCTGACCAGGACCCCTGCTCGGTATCTTATCTTATCTCAACCCATGTCCATTGGCGCGCCCCGCAAAGCCCATAATTGACCATCGCGTTTGCTCTTTCCAGTTCAAGGGTCTTTTTTTTGCTGGGTTCCAATGCGAAAATTCACACAGCTTCAGCTCCACAATCTTCCTGGCTGCATTTCAGCGCTTCCTGCGTCCGACCCCCCAGCTGAGTATCGACATCATAGGAGACCAAACGGACAATGGGGAAGAATCGCAGGAACCGCGAGAGCGGTGGCGAAGTGGCCGAGACAACTGCTGCTGGCCAGCCGCAACAATCGACAATCGAGAGCAAGACAGCGAATGGCGAATCCGAATCGCGCGAAAGTTCGTCGCAGAGTCAAAGCAGTGGAAGTCTGAAAAGATCTGTCCCCGACGATGACAACGAGGGATGGACCAAGGTCGAGCGATCCAATAAGAAGCGCAAGAAGGTTCCTCGCGAGGGATCCAGTAACTATCCCGCCATCACCTTCTCCCCGAGTGCGAAACTGTTTGCCAAGATCAATCTTGCCATGCTTCGCGATCTTATTCTTTACCTCTTCGCCGACGGGACGGGTCCCAATTGGGTCTCCGTGTCGCACCGACCGAACTTCAGGAAGATTGTGGTCTTGATGATACCCGGGTTGGAGGAAGCCATGTTTAATGAGGCCGTGGACTTCGACAAGTATACGTCCGGCCCGATTCGCGATCAAGACCGGACGGACACGACGCCTGACGACTACTATCCCCGACCTCTTTCAGCTGAACGCCTCCCGCTTGCGCTCCAGGGGTTCGCTAGCATGTTTCCCCATCTTTGGCCCGTCAAGGCACCTGGCGACGACAAGTATATGAAGCTTCATTCGCCCATGGCTACCTTCCTGACCGCCCCCATGCCCAAGAACAAGGATGACAGAAAGGGCCCTAGGCCGGCGCGGGAGCCTAGTGGCTGGAAGAACGAGCGAACCCGTATCACCGAATTTCTAGCTTCGCTCGAAGAGCTGGAGACCGCTGGTCACCTCATTCACCCAGCACTCATCGAGAACGAAGACAAGAGAGCGAGTTTCAAGGTTCCAGAGGGATGGGCCGTTTCTAAAGTCGACAAGCTTGAAGATGGCGAAGTGTCTGAGGCGGAGATTGAGCAGGGCAGCGTGACAGCTGGGCGAGAATGTCTCGCGTTGGACTGCGAGATGTGCATGACAGGCGAGAATGAGTATTCTCTCACGCGCATCAGCGTTATCTCATGGTCAGGAGACTTGATTATGGACGAATTGGTGAAGCCAGAGAAGCCTATTACCAACTACGTCACCCAGTTCTCCGGTATCACAGAGGAGATGCTGAAGCCGGTGACGACCACACTTAAGGATATTCAACAGAAGCTCCTTGACCTCATCACTCCACGAACCATCCTAATTGGTCACTCGCTTGAGTCCGATCTGAAGGCCCTTCGTTTCTCTCACCCTTTTATAGTCGATACTTCCCTCATCTACCCCCACCCGAGAGGCCCGCCTCTCAAATCGTCGCTCAAGTGGCTTACTCAGAAATACATCAACCGCGAGATCCAGAAAGGCGGTGCCAATGGACATAACCCTATTGAGGATGCTCGGGCTTGTCTTGATCTTGTCAGACAAAAGTGCGAGAAGGGTAAGATGTGGGGCGCGTCCGACTCCCAGGGCGAGAACCTGTTTCGCCGGCTCGCCAGGGCTGGAACTGCATACAAGGCGCAGGGCGGCGAGGCAGGCGGTCTAGTCACGGGTAAGACAAGTGCCGCCGTGGACTGGGGTGACCCGTCCAAGGGTCCTGGTGCTGGAGCGACCTATCAAATAGGTTGCAAATCTGACGCAGATGTCGTCAACGGCATCATTCGTGCCGTCAAGGGCGATCCAGACGGGCTGGAGATTCCAGGTGGCGGCGTCGACTTCGTTTGGGGTCGGATGCGAGAGCTTGAGGCGTTGCAAGGCTGGTGGAACAAGAACCGGGTGGAGAGTGTTGGCGGTGATGGCGGGCCTCCGGCCTTTGATACGAAGCTTGACGAAAAGCTCGGCAAATCGCCTCTTGAGCAGTGCTTAGCCCGCCTCTCGGCCTCTCTCCAGGCCATCCATGCCATCCTACCCCCCTGCACTGCATTCATCGTATACACGGGCTCCGGCGATCCTCGCGAGATGAGCAGACTCCAGGCAATGCACTCGCAATGGAAGCGGGAGTACAACACGCCTGGAAAGAAATGGGATCAGCTATCTGTTAAGTGGACGGACGATGAGGAGCAAGCCCTTCGACGCGCAGTCAGGAAGGCCAGACAGAGCATCGGCTTCATTGGCGTGAAATAGGTTAGACCGGGCATTCGGGGTTGATAATTGGTTTCGGAGGGGTCATGACCTCCATCCAACGTCTTGGGATCTGGAAATGATGTAACCCGACGCCAGCACACGGGACCCTTGAAAGGAACAATACACACATTGGCGGCTGCTAAGCTGGTCGATATTCGTTGATGATACCCTATGTCATGGTATAGAAAGGATTGCCGCGTTTGGGAGGAAGCCGAGAACTTGGCTTCAAGCTTGAAAGAAAAAAGAAGAAGAAAAAAAAAACATCACCGTTTCAATGAGGCTCCCATGAAATTTCTTGAGCATATAGGGTGATACCAATCTCCTTCGCCGAATCCAGCTCGGTATACCAGTGCCGATTTGAAACACGCTGGTAGACCACCAATGCTCGAATGTCATGCGAAAAGTGACTAACGACTGTTTCAGCTCACGGCGACAGTAACATGTTTCTTTCCATATCCATGTGCTGCTCACATGCGCGCTGGAGTTACAAGCTCGGGCAGCCAGGGTCAGCGCCTCCCCCACTATCGGTTGCTCCCCAGAACAGTCATTTGATTGGTTACCCCGCCTCCGGCTGCGGAGAAAGCAATCAACCGTTGCCGCCCAAACCCCCGCCGGCCAGCCTCGGTATCTTTGGGAGCCGCAACTGCTCAGCCATAGCCCAAATTACAAACTAGTCCGCTTTCCCTACGAACTCTATCTCTCTCACCCACGAGTGTCTCGCCCACCGTTTTGATATTTTCGAGAACCTGATCCTCGAATTTCTGGCTGCGTGACGTGATCCAGACACTACTTACAGTCCCGACGCTCTTGCATTACCCAACGCTATCAGTGCGGCCGATCCGCGACCGTGGCCATGTCGTTTCTCGGTGGCGCAGAATGCTCAACTTCGGGCAACCCTCTCAGCCAGTTTCAGAAACACGTTCAGGATGACAACAGTCTACAGAGGGACAGACTAGTGCAGCGAGGTCCCAATGCTCTCGCCGGCGGCTTCAGAAGCGTTGGCGCAAGCACCCCGCAGGATGAGGTAGATGCACCCCGTAGCTTTAGACATGGATGACTGTGAACTGACGGTATTTCAGATGATGAACGGGTTCCTCAATAATGCACCTGGTCTTCAACAAGACCTTCCCATGCAGAACGGCGCTGTCCGAATAGACCCTGTCCAAGGTGCGCATCTGCGCGCGAACTCGACATCACCGACATGGGCGAATGACTTCCAGAAGCAAGCCGCCATGGAATCGGCTTTCAACGTACCCCAAGGGGCACAGTTTAGCCCCGAGGATTTTGCGCGCTTCAATCAGATGATGGCCCATCAGTCGTCGTCGGCGAGAGCAAGCCCGATGCCCAGTCAGATGGCCCAGCAATCAAGAATAGGAATGGGGATGGGGATGGGGATGGGGATGGGCATCGGATACAACAACATGATGGGCCAGGGTATGTTCCAGCCCATGTACCAACAACCTATGCAACAACAACCGCAGCACGAGGATGTCAAGGGCAAGGGAAAGCTTGTGGAACTTGACGACAACAAATGGGAAGAACAGTTCGCCCAGATGGAACTGCAGCAGAAGGAAGACGCCGAGGCACAGGCAGCGGAGCCTGAACTGGAGGAAATGGATCGGGCAATGCAAAGTGAGACAGGCTTCGGCGATTTCGAGTCAATATGGAGGGGAATTCAGGCTGAAACTGCTGCAGCAAAAGGCATGGTCGACGACACGACATTCGACAAGTTCGACAGCGAAGACTGGGGTCCAGACTTCACCGGCATGAACGGCGACTGGGGTCGGTTGGGCGATCCCGTAATCGAAAACTACCTTTTTGAGGAGGATAACTTCTTCAGTGAGGAGAAGAACGCGTTCGAAGAAGGCGTGCGGATTATGCGCGAGGGTGGAAACCTATCGTTGGCAGCTTTAGCTTTCGAGGCGGCCGTCCAGCAAAACCCAGAGCATACAGAGGCTTGGGTGTACCTGGGCTCGGCGCAGGCACAGAACGAGAAGGAGACTGCGGCAATTCGTGCGCTAGAGCAAGCGCTTAAGCAAGATCCCAACAATCTGGCCGCTCTTATGGGCCTGGCTGTTTCTTACACCAATGAGGGATACGATAGCACCGCCTACCGGACACTCGAACGGTGGCTATCGGTCAAATATCCAAACATCATCGCACCAACGGACCTGCACCCCATGGCCGAAATGGGATTCACGGACCGGCAACAACTGCACGATAAGGTGACCGGCCTATTCATTAAGGCTGCTCAGCTCAGCCCGGATGGTGAACACATGGACCCCGATGTCCAGGTCGGTCTGGGTGTTCTCTTTTACGGTGCTGAAGAGTACGACAAGGCCGTTGACTGCTTCACGGCGGCTCTCCACTCGTCGGAACTTGGAACCTCAAATCAGCAAGAACAGCTACATCTGCTGTGGAATCGCCTCGGTGCTACCCTCGCCAACTCTGGACGCTCCGAGGAGGCTATTGCGGCGTACGAGAAGGCATTGAGCATTCATCCCAATTTTGTTCGTGCCCGTTACAACCTTGGCGTAAGCTGCATCAATATTGGATGTCACGCTGAGGCTGCGTCACACTTCCTCGCAGCGCTCAACATGCACAAGGCCATTGAGAAGAGCGGCCGTAGCATGGCGTACGAGATCCTGGGCAGTGGCGACAGCTCGCGCGGCGGTACCAGCGCAGCTCAAATCGACGAGCAGATCGATCGCATGACCGCGCAAAACAGGAGCACGACGCTCTACGACACTCTAAGAAGGGTGTTTACGCAGATGGGACGACGAGACTTGGCCGAGAAGACGGTTGCGGGTGTGGACCCCGAGATCTTCAGAGGCGAGTTCGACTTTTAGTCACCGTCGTGAGGTACGGAAGGAAGAGCGATGGACTCGCCAAACATGTAGCTATCACGTGTGTGAGTTGGAAAGAATGAACGTGATGACGTCTATCATGAGAATCTCTGCGTTTTGCAAAAGCATATTGTTACGGAGCTTCTATTTACTGACGACAAGCCCCATATCCCAATCTATCTGGCCGGCCAGTTCAGTTTAGGAAGAAAGGCGACAACAAGTCCCCTCCCCCGGCCCTCTTTAATTTAGCGTATAATGGAAGAAGCTCTCATGTTGTTCTCTTGTGATGCTGTTCCCTTACGTGCGGCACCTTCCTATGTGTCGGCGATTATCCCTCTGGCTTGAAAGTGACTGCCAAATATCAGTCAAAACACCATTTTCATTTATAAACGATAGTCAGCCTGGAATAACAAGTTAAAGTCCCACGGGAGAGCGGCCGGTTGGCCCAATGGCAAGGCGTCTGACTACGACTCCATCAGAGGTCGTGCAATCAGGAGATTCTGGGTTCGACCCCCAGGCTGGTCAATTTACTTTTGCCTATACCTACTACAGGTGTCTAATTTTTTTTCTCTCGATTTTTCGCAATGAATTTGCCAGTGGGTGTGGGGGGGCTTAATCCGTTGTGGGTGTGTGGGTGGTACGACCTTGGCGGGCTCTGGCCAAGCGCGGACCAACCACATGCCCCCCTCCCCCGGCCCAGGACGGACGGGGAAGAACCCTCCCTACACATGGCGTTGGTGAAATGCACCACCTAAACGGGGCAATTTGCTCGGCCGGCGGTTGCGGCTGCGGCGGCGATGGGGCGAGCGGACGGGTGAGCGGGAAGAAAAAAAAAGGTGGGGGGCGTTACTGACAGCATCAAATTTGAAGCCGGGAGGGGTGGCCGAGAAAACAGAACGACTTGACGGTGACACCGACGCACTGATCCAAGGGTTGCTGGGATGCCTCCCCCGTGTGGCAGGTCCTTCCCCTGGCCCGTCCAAGAGGTGAAGGTTGAGGGAGGGGAAGGGTGGGGAGGTGACAGAATATGAAAACAAAAACAAAAATACCGTCGAAACTGACTCGAAGTCGGACGGGCCGAGATCGGGGGGCCAGGCGTGAGCAAACAACAAACTATGCTTGTCTAGTCCAGTCCAGTCAAAGGGGGGAGGTATTTTACCGAGTGGCCCATGTAACTCATGCCGAATGACATGAGGAGGAAAGAAGGCGAGGGGGGGAGCGGGGAGGGAAGACGGACAAGACTGATGACCAGGACCCGGGATCGATCAACAGCCGCAGGAGCAGAACGGGGAGGCCGTCCCCGCACGTATGTATCTCAGGCCGGTGGCCGGCCGGTGCTTCGTCCTCTCCCTCCTCCCAATCGCCCATACCCTTGCCGAGAAGTCAGCGTCAGTCTTCGTCCCGTCCATGGCGGAAGCAACAGTTTGCGGGATGATAGAGCCGAGCTTGGG